TAACGTTTGTTTTATCGCCATCATATCAGTCTTCGGACGTCCACTGCTGAACATAGGTCTCCCTCAGTGACTTTCAGATAGGCCGGTTGGAAGCGACCTGCAACTATTTCCCTGCGACCTTAATCAGGTCGTCTGTCCACGTTGCGGGTGGATGTTACAACGTTTGTTTACTTAAGGAATATTGACGATTTTCGGTTTTTAGACAATTAATCGGCAACAGCCCTAAGTCGAAGTCGAAGAATAAATTTACCCTCACGTTATAACAAAACTGGTGAAAAGAGGTAAGTGTGATACTATTTATTACTTTCTCTCTGAAAAGTATCTCGTGAAATATTCATCAATCAAAGGGCCTAGTACGAATTTGTTTTAACGAAATTATGACGTTCGCCGCTCTGATTGGCCTGCTCCATTAAACCAACCAATCAGCAGGCTAAACGGTGACATTACGATCGCGTTAAATGTAAAACCAACTTGTACTAGGCCCTCAGTATCAGGTACCTAATCTACCATTTCTTGTATCTTGTTAAATATGATTTGACCAATGCTGTTTTGTATATCTACGTCATGAAGACACGCAAGCTTGCATGATGCAGCCGACTCCTTTTATACTAGTAGCGCATGCTCATTCATTGTTTTAAATAAACTATTCAACATTGGTTAAACGTCTTGGAGTAATGCCCTGTATATTATCTAGTAAATAATAGATACCTATAACCGCAAAGAAAAAGATATTCGCTTTAAACAGGGACGTTGAATAATTATTTTATAAACATAGTTTAAAAAAACCGGTATCATCCCTCTTTTTTTTAATCGGTTGATTAATATATCAAAACCTTCTCCTAAGTATTTTTTTTAAGGGGGGAAAATCATCGAATGACTGCTCCCGCCTGGGCGAGGCGGGAGGGAGTGTCAGACTGACTAAAAACCATCCCGTTCCTTCTCCTGCACGTCGAGCCGGAACCCCGGTTACCCGTTAGGTTCTCCGCGACATAAGTACCTACCTATAGGTTTTGCTAATGAAATTTTGAATACCTACATAGGTATCCAAAATTTCAGGTAGTATAGAAGGTGAAATATCAGAAATCGGTAGCCAACACTCACTGTATGCAGGACAATCTTCCAACTTAGGTTTTTATTCAAACTTATTGTTTCTATTCAAACTTTTGTTGAAAACAAATACCTATGTAATATTTTTCTCATTATATCGCTACACATAGTTGTATAAAAATGTATGTCACATAACCATTGTTGTATAGAAAATTAATAAAATAAACATAATGCTCACAAACGCAGTTGTGAGCATTCGGGTCAATAAACTTTATATGTGTAGGTATACCTACTTTAATCGATTGCTTGTTTAACAGTCGATAAATCTGAACAATCATATCTACATTCAATTTTAATTGCGAATAAATAAATAACATTTATATTGTAGTATATTTATCTAGCAGCCAACAGCGGCTAGCCGGGCCGTAAGCGTAGCCCTAACGGGTTACCGGAGCTCCGGCTCGAAGTGCAGGAGTAGGAACGGGGTGGTTACCAGTCAGTAAGAGTCTGGCACTCCCTCTCGCCTCATCCAGGCGGGAGAAGTCATTGGATGATTTTCACCCCTCAAAAAAAAAACCCATAGTAGCTGTGCCCGACTCCCGAGTGCAACCTTTACCATTGACATATCTATATAAGTATAGGTATCTATTAAAAACTGTAACAATCAGAATTTGCTGATCAGTTGATACAATCAACTACTAAATAAATAGACGAGACCCCGCCAATGACTTATTAGTCAATCAGAAATTTTGTTCCGGAAACAAATAAAAATGAAAGTAAACTGAAAAGGTATAATAAAGAATAATTAAAATTGCCTTCGTCAAAAATACACTGACCTCCGACTTGCCCTCAAAAAATTAAAAATATACTATACGTTATTTAAACAAAAATACACAAGTAGGTACGAACCCAACGTATACGTAGGTAAGTACATCTATCATACAGGTTTGGCAATTTGATCTTGCTTAAACTTAAAACAAAAATTCACAGAATATTAATTTAAATAGACCATTGACTAATTAATTTAAATAAATTATTCAAAAACAACAGAGAAAAGCCTGTTTCAATTTAAAATCTTGAATTTTATGTATTTTAATTTAAATATTTTTATAATTAGCTAAATAGGTATGGCGACACATTTATAGTGGTCAGTGAATAGCGACTTTAGCACTAAGCTACTAAATAGCAATATGGTATTTTTAAAAACAAAAGCGCATAACTTACCGCAAGCATAGGCGCTGACCCCGGTCCGGTCGGGAATACGAGTAAAGTAAACGTAAGTTACCGAGGCCCAGAGAGGGCCCTTCTCGATGGTTTCAAGGGCTTCCAGTTGGTATTTAGCAGCCATCCCAAAGATGGGAGCAGTACTCCATGCACGACCAAACTTGTGTTTGGTAGAGAGTTAGCAACTGCTCCGGTGTGAAGTACCGTCTCACCCTCGACAGGACACCCAACTTCCTACCAGCCAGTTGCGCCTCGCTCCAGATGCGGTTTCGACTAAATCTGTATTGCTGATAACTATCGTTACCTTCTAACTGGTGAAAAATGGATGTTATATTCCCCTCCTACGTGACCTTCGGGGGTTAAAAAATGCGTGACATTTTACTTATTAAACACCAACCTTTACAGTTACTTCATTATTGTATAAGTACGTATATTGAATATAATTCCTACATGTGTTGCATCCGTTTTACTTACCACACAGCTTAATTAACGATCTGATGATCAACACCATATCAACACAGTCAACCATGATACCTGGACGCTCTCGGCTAATAGTAATTATTAATTATAACTTTACAAGCTAAAATCACCTTTATTGTCAAGTCTTTTCGAGTCAAAACTGATATAAATAAAAATCTTGTCTTGTTTTGTTTTATAAATCTTGGCCAATCTTGGCCCACATTAAGATTCTGGTCGCATAGATACCTAGATATCACACGCAGTGCCAGAATAGAGCCGCGGAGAACTTAACGGGTTACCGGGGCTCCGGCTCGAAGTGCATGAGTAGGAACGGGGTGGTTTTTAGTCAGTAAGAGTCTGACACTCCCTCCCGCCTCACCCAGGCGGGAGAAGTCATTGGATGATTTTCCCCCCTTAAAAAAAGTGCCGGAATAGAAACCGCGACACATTGCGGTTTAAAAAAAAATATGTGTGAGCTTAGTAGGTATTTATCTATATACTTTTAAGTAAAGCTCAATACTTCAATACTGAAAAGTTTATTCTAAACAGATTCTTATAAGAAAACAGCGTGATGCTCGTCAAACTTCCCGCCAGAATCGCATGTTACAACTCTTTGCGCGGGAAACTTCAATAATCTGTCACATTTGACAGATGACATCGTCAACAAGTGCTGTCCATAATACAGAACTAGTGACGTTCATTTATTTGGTTTCCGTTGTTTAACAATACCTACTTATACATAAAACACGTGAAAACATGATGTGCCTACCTTCATAATATTATATCGACCACAATAATAGGAGTTTATTACAATAAACTTCATTCAAAACATGTTTTGTGTCTCATAAAAACAATACAGGGAATAATACTGCATTTAACGTAAATATGTACCTACCCATATACTGTGGACAGCTGCAGGTCAACCTACACTAATCTATAAAATACTTCATTCAATTTTCGACTTAAGTAAATCAAAATATAAAGTTGATTAGATTATTTGATAATGACGGAAAAAGATTGGTCTGCTGACCACAATATGTAGAATGGTAGAATAGATACCTTCTAATAATATATTATTATGTAGATACCTTCTTATTATATAGATAAAGAATATCATGTAGATGCATTCGTTTTTATTTTCAGTGTTCAAAATTATTATTTTTCCTCGAACTCTTGGTTCGTAACCTTGTCATACATTTGTTTTTTTGGCACATCTTAAATCAATTTCTAGGAATCTAGGAGGTTGCCAAAGATTTTTGACCCGAAGCAATACCTATTGAAATTGATATTTTTTTTCCTTTTTATGGAAAATTGTAAGCGTGAATCATTTGTATTCAAAAGTCACTAGTCTTATTATTGGAGTGATAATATTTAATGCGCATTTAGGAATCGTTTGGAGCTCCTGATAAAATTTTCATAGCGATAAGTTGCATAAAATAGCGTTGCTCAATTAAATTACATAATTATGTCGAAATACTCAAACGCTACTCAATTTCGACGGTTCATTAATCTGCCGTCACCACTCGACACTGGCAGTATAGTCGACAACATCGTATAGAAGACTCAGTTGCCAAAGAAGAGAAAAAAAAGCATAGTTCTGTCACAACAAATTCTTTGTAAAATGACAGAGACGGCACGATATTTAAATATACAACTTAACCTTTCGCACGTTTATTGTAAAAACGGGTGTACGTACGAGAGAGTTGAGTGGCCATCGCCGCAATAGGCATGGCGACTATTTTTTAATTTTTTGTCCGTCTTTTAGATATTTTAAAAATCTTCGATACGTATTTTTTCTTTTTTCTCGTATCCAAAAAAACATGTAGATATTTTGAGTTAAAATGACGCGTGACGTCACACTTAGGTACGATTTCTCCGTAAGTGTGACGTCAACACCCCCCTAACTTTAATGCGGAATAACTACGTATTCTTCTGTTAATTTGATAAAACAAAAAATACGTGTCTGATATTTTCGTGCGATCTTAATGACGGACTAATTACTTTTTTGATTTTTTTACCCTGTCGACACGCCTGTCATTGTACACACAGGTGTTTTTTTTTTTAAGTTGGGAAAATCATCGAGTACACACAGGTGTACGAGAGCTACTTGCACCGATTGGAAACATTTTCTGTAATGTATATTTTCAAGTTGCAACCCATTCTTTATTTGATTGAACAGTATAGTTCATTCGCTTTCTATTAAACCCGTGTACGAGACGTCGAGAGGTTAAAATTAATTATTAAATAAATATAATTAAAACAACAAAAAATCGATGTAAACCAGATTTTATTCAACAGGTAACAGGAACAATACATAATAACAATGTCGCTAGACTATGTCAAATAAATAAAATGTATCGCTAACACAAAGAAAATTTAAAATATGTTTTTTATATATAGTCTTGTCAAAATTAACCACTATGAAGATTCGCTAGTGCACTTTGGAATTGTTTATCACAGACTAAAAATGTATCTAATATTTGTAGCATTTGAATTTTATCGGAGTCTAGATAGATTATGTCGAATATTTTTGTATAATACCAACATGAATTAAAAAAAAATGTTGCTAAAATACAATAAAATAATTTAAGTTGCTTTTCAAAAACTCAATTTAAAATTTTAAAATAATAACTTCAGAAGATCAATAAAATTACACCCTTAAATAGAATTTCTTTAAAAAAACCATCGACAAAAACTAACTAGACGTATTACAACAATTCAATACTTTGCAAAACAGCAATAGGACAAACAGACTTATTTTCAACTCTATAACCAAAAACGATAAGATCAAAAATCCAATAGCAAATGAACAATATCTGTCTGTCTTATTTTAAGTAGGACGAAATACAATTGAAATTAATGTCCAAATGCTTTCCAAATATATGTATACTTATTTGTAGAATTTAACTTAATGTAAGGACACTTTGCAGTTCCTTGAATCCGACTTTAGCAAAGCTACTGAACTAGACCAAGCCATTCCAACATCATAGTACCTAATGCAAGTCTGTTTTACGTTACCGCATTGGTTGGTTAACTTGGAGCAACCAATCAGAACGCCGAACGTCATAAATGTGTGCACTGCGTTAACATAAAACAAACTAGTACTAGGCCTTAACTATATTCTATAATACTGATATAATTATATATAGGAATATTTATGAATTGACGTCATATCGTTTATAATTTATATTATATTTTAGAATTTGTATAAGGAGCATGCTTATAAACAGCAAATAAAATGAATTTAAGTATTCATACACCTAAATGTACCTTATTACAACTGGTGGTGTTCTCAATTAATTACAGACCTTATATTATAAGCATTAAAGCTGTTTTTAAGATACCAATTATTCTACTACACAATGACGTCACACATCGAATTTCATCTAAGATCTAATTTGGTGTAATTTTTGTGCCAACAAACGCTCTATTCCCTAACACTCAACATTTTATTCTAAAGTTTTGTAAAATAATATGACTTTACTATTGGAACTATGTATGTACTAGTACTTGTAAAACTAGGAACACTTTCTACATCAGAAATAAATAATTATACAAAAATATTTGTAATTTCTATTATTCTGCACCAAAAAAATAAATCAACTGATGACTGACAATTTGAGGTCAAGAGACGTTAACGTTACTTGCGCAAAAGTAATTTAGCTTTTGCGCGCGCAAATCAATTTTGTCTAGTGATTCGTTGCCTGCAGTTATTAAATGATAGAATTTAGCTTAGAAAGGTGTCTATGAGCACTCAAAATGTCAATCACCAACAATATAATAATATTTTAAAAGACCCGGTGTAATTTGCTCCCACAACTTGCATGAACCACTACACAAATCTTGCAGTTTTTAAGAACGCCTAAATAATGTCAGATCCACTAAAAATACTGTCCGTCTATTCCAAGGCAATTTTGTAGTTTTTTTATTCATTTTGCTTAGTGAGCAGTACTTTGTACTTGACATACTGTCATGTCTTTAAGATTTTCGCTCTTAGAGCTCGTTCTGGAAATATAATATTTGGAATATTATGTATGGAAGATCTATTTGTACCAGGACGTCTGAACAGTTGTCTCCAGACATGGTAACATGGGCTAGTAGCTGCCCGATTGGAAACTACGGACAACCTACCAGGTTACCAGAGAAGTAGGAACGGGGTAGTGTTTAGTCATAAAGAGGCTGACACTCTCTCGCCTCAACCAATAGGATGATTTTCACCCCTCAAAAAAAAACAAAGACAATGTAACATTTACGTCTCTTTTAATAATAGCGTATTGTTGTTAATGCCATAAAACTTGCCTTATAGGTTACTTTTTAAACTACCTACCTGAATTACAGCACTAGCTGTGATGTAAGAGTCAATAGTATTAAGTAGGTATGTACTTGGATTTACTTTTTAGCCAGCCTGATTCAAAATAGTTGTTAACACGTTATCTGCCGCGTAGGTCACCGGTGACCTACGTTAGCGGAGGATTTGCCTTCAGCAGTTTTCTGTCGGCAGTCAAAGGCTTAATGATTTACCACTTCTTTTGAAATAGTGGAAGAGTATAATATCTTTGGCGGATATAATGTTGGCATGAAAATTAATAATCTCCCAAAACTCGTAAAATATTTAATAAAATAAAAAAAGGCGTGATACAAGGTACGCAGTATGGAGACAAGTGTTATGGCAGCACTTGCAACCCATATACGAGCGCTCGCGCCTTTACAAATTTTCATAGTATCCTACGAATTGCGTCTTGTTGCTATTAATATAAATTATGCATTAAACGGAACAATCAGAGATTTATCTCTAGTTAACAATATAATTAATATATTACATTTATCATGTAATTATTTAATTATTGAACAGCTCACCGTTCCGTTATATAATCCTTATACTTAGGTAATATATTTCTCAGAGTTTCAACAGGCATACAATATTCACCTATGCATAAAATGTACTACTTATGCGTTATCGTGGAGCTTACCTACATGGCACATATAGAAAATATAACTGGGGTATTTCTCAAAAGTAAAATGTAATATTTTTTTTAATTGATAGATACTAAATTAGGGCGTGATTTTTTGAGCCTATGTTAATAATGTTTCATTTAAATCAGCTAAAAAATTGGGTAAGTAACTAAATGTAATCAGATCGAACAGCTATATTGACATTACTTTGAAACATTTTAAAGCATTGATAAGTCTGAACACATTTTTGTCGAAGGAAACATCCCAATGAGCTACCATGCTTGAAATTTATCACCAGATGTCGCTAGTGGGTCAAAGCCCCTTATCCAACATAATTTGTAACGTCAGACAATATATTTTTGACAGTTACACGATTATAATGCGAAAACGACCTTTTTCTACACAGGCGCCATTTGGTGATCTAAAAAACGGTCCCAAATCATCTAAAAATGTGATAATTATATACTACAGTAACTCAACTGTTCACAATACCTTGACCCATCGACGGTAAGTGGAATCCATAAACCACGTGGTGCCTGAATCTATGGGCCGGACTATGAAGGGAATGGATGACAGCCCAATACCCACAGCCATCCAATTCCTAGTCATAGGTGATATTTTTGTAAATCTCTTCAGACCCATTGAAGAATATGTGCACAACCTGAAAAATTATTAAAGTGTATTAGTAGGATGGATCATTAGGTACATTTTGGTTGTAGGACAGTGCATCGGCACAAATAATCTCGGCTCAACAAGAATGATACCACAAACTCATAGAAAACCGACGTGAAACAACGATTGTGTTGTGTTTCATTGTGCTAAATGAGGTTACCGGAGACCTAATTACCCCCTCAATCTCCCCAAACCCCAAATTCTCAAATTCCTAATCCCCTAAAGGCCGGTAACGCACTTGTAATGTCTCTGGTGTTTCGGGTGTCTATGGGCGGTATTAATTACTTACCACCTGGTGATCCGTCTGCTCATTTACCAATAAAATCCCATACAACCAAATAACACATAAAAACCAACAGACACTATAATTATGATCCATGTCCTACAAATCCATGTCCTAGAAATTGTTTAAAAGACTTAAATGTTATTGGTATTTACCTGTTAATGACGAAGCCGGGTATGATGACAGATGCGAGCGTCTGCCATATGAGAACGTCTCCGGCTTCTATAAGCACTTTTTTTGGTCGACCGTCTGTCTGTAATCGGTATTGAAACATAATTAGTACCTTGTATGAAAAAAATTATACAATTACTAAGTATCCGTTCACGGCTTTACCTGCATGGTCAAAGCAATAACTAGTGATATGGGCTATATTCATACACCCTTCTTATTAACACATACAAAAATGTAAGACAAAAAGACTCATACATTCTCAGGTTCATCCTTGATATCTGAATGAAAAATCTATGTGTTACTTCAAACTATAATTTATCTCACAGCATTTAAATCCATTCAGTAACTTCTAAATTTTTATGGGATGGAATTATAATTATCTGTTAAATCCCCAAGCAGTCACCGGTGCCCACTCTACACTAACTCCAATGCAGACCTTATTTCTAATGTTTAGAGACTATGTTTGTATAAACAAATATTGGGGATTTTCAGTACAATATTAAAGTATTAAGTTAGTAACTTATTGTAATTGTTACCTTTAACATTTTGTAACTTTTGTCCCCAGTATCGGCGAAGGTGTATGCAAAGGCCACTACATAGCTGAACCGAACGATCTTGTAGGAGACCAGTGCTCGGAAGGATTCCCCTACCTCGTTGGCATACCCTGCAACATGGACCTGTTCAGCGACCGGTATATCATGAGGGATGAGGGGTGAGTACCATGTAGTTCTCCTATGTTCAAATTTAATAAATGTAAGGAGATAGTCAAGTTGCTTTTAAAAATATGTTCGATTTGGATGTTTCGGAAAAAAGTAAAGGTTTATTTATTTATTTATTTATTGCAAAATGTATATACATAGTGGTATTATACTACTAGTACAGTACATCACCCTGTTAGGGCGCAGCAATTTAACTTATAAATAATAACTAAATAATCATCTAATATATTATGTACTTATTCTATTCATTATTAACTTAATTACTCACTATAAACTTATTACTATTAAAATTTCTTATCACTTATATATAAGATATAAGTATATCACACTCCCCAGCCTGAACTATCTCTAGACATCAAATTCAGACAATACAAATTTACATGTACTTAGAAGTTTGTTACAAAACTTTTTAAAAGTTTATTGTATTGGTAATTCAATAATTGTATCGTGAAACTGAAATTTTTATTATGCAACATACCTAATAATGAAAATATCTATATATACTAAGGTATTATTCACAACTCAAAAATGCACATTATTTAATGTAATTGTTCTACAAATCAAGCAAATATTAACTTGTTTGTGGTTTGATATCAATATATTAAGTGTATGCTAACTAAAGGAAGTGAAATAAGGAAATTAAAACCTTCATAATCTTGCCTTTTTGTTTTCTATGTAATTTATACAGAACTAATCTTACTAAACGGCTACAACATGAGAAATGATGATGAAATATCTTATAAAATGGTCAAATAATTAAGTTTTTGTAAAACATAATGATGCCATAATATTATATTCTCATATTTACCTAAGTAGCGCACCCATGTGTCTCTCCAGATATCCGTTTCACCTGATTCAGTCATAGTCAGGCCAAAATATCGACTATTCTGACTCAAAAAAAAATCGCGTTAGAAAATTACTGCATTGCAACTCAAAGTCGGACCACGAAGGATGAATGTAAGTTGTATAATACTACATATAACTACACCATGATTTATGAAATTAAATTCACGTGTTGCTAATGAAAAATACGGAAGTTATGTAAAAAATAAAACTATTAGGTAACAAATTAAGGTTATGGACGATCTTGGTACGACTTCGCGAATGGAATGTTTTACATTGAATAACCTTGTCATCTGATAATTTTAATTGTTCAAACAGATTGTTTTGTTTCTCCGTCTCATTATAACACTGCTTAGAGCAGCTTTGATAAATAATTTTGATGAATTTTGTCACAAACGCTTCGATCTTCCAAATTGATTATTTTGACTTTGACAATTTGACAGTTACGATTTGACATTAAATTTCAATGACAGTTCTTGGGCTGCCAGCTACATTGTGTAAATCTCCCGTAGTTTTTATTATTTCGATTCTACTAAGTACATACCTAGGTACTTTTTGCAGATGTCAGCTGAATACCTCGGTATAACCATAATTGTTTGAATGCAGTATAACAGAAATAGCATCAAAAATGTTAATAATTTCGGAACTTTAGGAACAATAACAGATGAAAGAATCTTCAAAACCTTTTACTTAAGTTTTTCAGTGTACGTAAAATAGTATAATTATGTGCGTGCATGTTTAGGTTGTGGTAGAGTATATTCACTTCGATAGGGATGAACACAACTTTCTTGGGAAAGTTGATTATTATTCTGAATGTAATGTATACATTTAGGTGTCCTTTACTGATTACAAGTCATTCTTTATTATAAATTGACTATAAAAGTTTAATATAATGTAACCTTAGGGTTCATACGCACCATGCGGGTAGCCGCGTGGTGTCTAGCCGTCCGGCTGATCGCAAGCACAATTATGTACGTAATATTCATTTCTATGCGCACTGCGATGCGGCTACCCGCAGACCACTCCGATCGCTCGGAGGGCTGCGATTCGAGTGACGGCCAGCCGGACGGTTGCGCACGCATACGCACTGTGCGGTTCAGTCTGCGGCTGCGGCTGCCCGCCATTGAGTGAGTGTGTGCACGTGGTACGTCTGGTAAAATGGAATTCGGTGCTTGCTGACTTGCGGACACTATTCCAGTATACCTATAAATTGGATAAATTCATAAACTGGTAACATTACAAAATTGACAAAGTTGCCATACATTTTTATTTTTTTCTAATTGGCAAAAATGTCAAAGCAGCTGTTCTATTCTGATAGAATACTCGATCAAAATAAACAAAAGATAAAAGTATCAGACTTCCTGATAAGAAACTGATTATTACTTGTTATATCTTACAGTATATAAATCTGTAAACAATCAAGGCCAATTGAATATTGGTTAAATATGAATAGGTAAAATAGTGCAAAATTTTCGCAAATCGATTTAACATAATGAAATTATAATATTTTACTGTTTATTTCGTGCAAGGACCTTCTATTTGAATGTGCAGTAATGTATGGTCATTCATTATGCCAAAACGTAGCCATCAGTAGCCATCGCGATTTGTCGTGAGTGGTCGAAAGGTACTTTTTGCTTACTTCACAATCAGCTGTTCATTCACGGTTGGTGTAGTAAGACGTGCGTTTAGGTTATATTTAGTACTGTCAATGTTTGTATCAAACAAATCGTTGTTTTACGCAGTATTCTGTGAACCAGTGAACTAAAATTAACTAAAGTGAAAGTGTACAAGGACATTAATAGTGTGCATAATCTAACGTTTCGCGTTATTGTTAAATTACAATGTAAATATTATTAAATCGATGTACTGGATATCGCTAAAGTCACAACAAAAGGTATTTGCAATAATATTATAACTCTGTTGTTTCCTCAACGTGTTTCTGTGTCCGAAAATAAAATTCTATTACTGCCAAAATCGACCTTCGATAGTGATGTGACATTGACCGTTGTCTATTTGTGTCGATAAGAAATTAATCAATGAAAATTTCATACATTTCTATTCAAATTTATATTTTGACTCGTAATTTTGTTACGAAAATAAAATTAATGTTTGCATTAAATTCTTTACTCTGTAGCAAAATTTATTACCTAGTTAATATAATACATTATTAACTCTTAACTCAAAAATGTCTGAACATTTACAGAATAAATAGCATTAATCTACGTTCGTAATTAAAATAATAGTATACCTAGTTGTTTAGCTACCAATTTCATTATTTAAAACTCTTCACAAGGAAAATACTCGAGTAGATACCTACCAACTCAGGTTTACAGATGGCAAAGGTGAGATGAAACTAGTTTACTAAACCAAATCGAGATTTTTCGGAATGATAATATGTCATAGTTTTTTAAATTTGCTTTCGAAAATAACCAAGAAATGAACCTCTAAGACGTTCTTTATAGTAATATCTCACGTTAAAATTAAGTAAAATGTACAAAAATATTTTGTAGACTATTTGAACATGAATCGTTACACGTTTTTACTCACTTTGTTTGAAAAATATCGACAAAATATCTATCATTGAATGGGTGCTAGGTATTTGACTACATGAATAATACTTAGTTAGATAGAAACCTAGGTAGGTATAGGTACCTGGTTAAAAACCTCAGGTATCAGCAAAAATATCGTTACGTACGTGTCTTATACATAATTGTAGGTACCTATTTTATAGCATAAAATTATAATAGTATACATTTTATCACCTTTATGAGTAGGTTAATTAGAAATAAAGAGAGTTCTTACCGTTATATAGGTATCAGGTCTGACATATCACGAGCAAAACTAGTCTAGATAAGGTCTACATTTGGTATGGTATGATCACTCAAGCAAAAAAAATGTTTTAACACTATTGCTAAATTAAGGACGGGTAGACTGTACCTAATTTTACAAATGAATAGTTTTCAGTCTGCGATTTCGTCCGCGTCCGTGATATAAACGAAAAAGTCGAAGTTGCAGATGTTCAAATCCTGTACGAATGTCAACATAAAAAAAATAAATAACTAATGTTAGTCCCTGAAAAATGTAAGCTTACCAATGGTGCCAAAATTTTTGATAATTTTACCCATCATGTGAATAAAATTATTATAGAATCATTGTTTGCTTAACAGTTAACGTTAATCCCGTGTCTGGACTGTCAAATTAAGTCGTAAACGAAAACGATACTCATAACAACTTTGACAAAATTATATTCTATAAAGATTATAGTTCATCCACTTTTCTTTATTTACGTTGATAATAATTTCCTTACAATCGTACACAATGCCCGACGCTGCATACTTTTGAAAAAATCTTTTAAAATATGCTGTAGACGACGCTGATACAGTTCTGCTTCATTTAAAAAAAACAAAAACAACAAGCATGTCAATATTTTGATAATTTACATCATAAAATTGCGACGCGATGCGTGAAATTGCAACAGACACTTTATCTTGCTCATTTGTATCACAATAGAAACGGAACAATATTGAATCCAGTACAAGTAACAATATCATGCTAAATACCGAATATCATGTATAAAATAACAGAATGTAGTCAAGTACTTGCATATCCCGAGTGTGGTCGACCAGTCACGTGTACATTTGTTGTTTTGTCGCGCACAGACAGACAACAAACATGTATGTATGTATGTATGTATGAATATTCTGAGAAAGAACAGGACAATGAATGTTTATAGGGTTTGGATTATTCACTGCATCAAATAAATCGTTGTCAGTACTAAGCGACTGATTGTATGTTTCTGGTCTCGTCGCGTATGTATTTGCAGGTTTCTGTAACACAATTTTTTTTGACATTAGTTCCGTTAAGTTTTAGTAACAGAGTATTTGAATTAAGAACGGTCATTGGATTTGCCTTTAAATAACAATTTAGCTGTCAAGATGAATTTATTTTGTTATCTTAATAACAGTCGTTGTAGTTATTATGATTATAACCTAATCACAGTTGCTTCTTGTTTCTCATTTCTTCAATTGTTTCTATTTTTTATCTCTTCAATGTCATACAGTCCTTCAAATACAGTTCAGTATTGATTACCCACTATTATTTTCCAAGGTAAATGCCAAAGCAAACTAAGTTTGCCTATCGATCATAGTGTAACTTGTTATTATTTATATTTCCAGACCAATTATTTTTAAACAATTAAATGTAGATTAATCACCGTCACTTACAATTTATCGACAACTCGACGAGTTTCGCTGAGCACATCACTAGACCAATCAAAGATAATGAACATCAATGTTTTTTCGATACATTCTATGCTTATTCCCATTGCCATGTAATTTTGCTTTTTTGTATAAATTATCGTTATAATCTACGTTAAATTAATAAGTTTATAGACTTATTTAATTATCACAATTAGTCTCTAAAAGTCATAAGATGTATTGCGTCATTTTTAAAATGTTTTCTTTTAGCAATGTCATGCAAAATTGTACTGTAAATTTAAGTAAATATTTAGCTGTGTAAATAAACCTACGAACGTAGGTTAATCTTAATTACATTATATTTAAAGCTAGTATTAACCAGTAAGTACATACACTGCTATGGTTTAAAGAATAGCGAAATCGTGCCACATCTAGTTTTGGAACCAATTCTTTAGTTCTGCCCGTAAAATTGAGATTAATCGCAATTTTTAACGCGGTTTCATAATATAACATCACGCCTTAATCCCGAAGGGGTAGGCAGAGGAGCACATTACGGCACTTAATGCCACTGTATCATGTAACACTCACTTTTCACTATTTATGTTATGGGTCCCATGTACTAGGCCCTATGCCACGGGTGAGCCTATTACTGATTACTGATATTTTTTTAAAAACCCAGTAATACTTTACGCTATCCGGGAATCGAGCCCGAGATCCCTTGGCCCTTGCTAACATTGCGATTCGCAAGTCGCACTTACGACACGAGGCAGTCACATAACGTGGTTTTATGCTTAGATTTTCTTCAGTATCGTGTATTTACAAACATTTATAATTTAAAGTAGTTAGGTACAATACACATTACATTCAGACCCTGAACAGTAATTTGTGGATCACACATAGTTGTTTCGTTGCGGAATTGTACACACGACACGCTAACAGGACAGCAATAAGTACCTACATTGACTGCAGGGCTGGCGCGATGGCTGGGCAACTGGCTGCCGCGCAACGTGTCGTGGGTTAAATTCCAGCACAGAACAACTCTTTGTGTGGTCCACAGACTGTTGTTCCAGGTCTGGGTGTCATGTGTATGTGTACTTGTATGTTTGTAAACGCACCAACGACACAGGAAAATCCTAGTGTAGAGAGTCTAAGTTAATAAATCAATAGTCAAAAAAGGTAATTAAGAAATAAGCTAAGATAGGTGCCTACAATAATAAAATTCTCCTTTGATACTAAAAAACTAATTTAGTTTTCGCTAGTTCATGCATATTTTTAACTATAGAATTTGTCTATGCCAACATTAATTAAGGTCGCTACCTAAGAATTCCTGACCTACATACTTACTCAAAGCAAGTTATTGTCCACACTATCTACCTAACTACACATGTCTTCACATAGCACACGTCAACCTATACAAACCAGTATATCATGGCCTATCTTTGCATCATCCTTCCTCAGATTCGCCGGTCACTTTATACTGGTTTGTATCACTCCACGTGCAGCCGTGTTTACACATATCACTCACCCAGGTGTCACGTGTCTTGTAGCTTGCAACATTATTTTCCTCTTGCATAGCCATACCGTGTCACTGACTCATCTGCTACTGAGAAAATTCTAAAATAAGGACAACAAAGCCGAAGTAATAAGTATTATCAGGCCATCTTATAATTCTTCGAAATTGTAGTCAGAACATGTATGAGAGTCAGTAAATAAGGTCTAATGGCGAATTGAGATTCCGTAATGAAAAAATCGCTAACGACAATTTTAATGCTATAAGACGGCAACCCTTCAAATAGTGCCTACTTCTTTATTTTATCTATGTGCCTAACTTTAGGAAAGAAAAAAAGGCAAAGAACTGTGATATTTATTAGTGCTTGCCTCACTACTTCTCCCTACTTCAAAACTACCCGGTGGTCGCGATCCGCATCCAAGAGGATAGGTTCCCAAAGATACTCGTTTGTACAAATAAAAGTTCAATGACGTCACGGTACTCTCCCACTTTTTGTCCATCTTTCAAAACACAAGTAAATACACAGCACACACCGTACACGTAGTTATGTATAGAACCAAGTAACACCTCTGTCAAGGTCGACCGGTAATGCAAAAAATAAGTAAAAAAATATCTTGATAAAAAGTTTTTATGTAGTTGAAGATGATTATGATGGTCTTTAGTTTATATTGTGTTGCTTTACGAAGTAGGTAATGGACTATGACTACTAATTATCACATATACATAAAATAGCGTCATTTTAGCCCGTACTTAACTAAGTAAGAAACACATAGAAATTACCTACCTACACTACTTGGTAAGATGCTAACAATCGTGAACTTCCATCTTTGTCAGGTAATTTTCTCTTTACTTTTAAAAATTATGTCGAGTGGTAACGGGCTATTTGGTTTAAGCGACATTTTGGGCGATATTGAGTTATATAAATATATTCGGAATCAGCGAATTTTTCTCCGTCGATTGATGCCGGTTTCATTAAAATCGGAGCACTTTTTTGGCGTTTGAAACAATTCTATTTTCGTGTTGTTTCCAAAGTGACAGTGTATTAAACGACATGGATTTCGCATTTTTTATTAAATTATGTACTTGAACCATACCATCATATTAATAACCGAGACATAAACCAGTCACCCTATCTCTAATTAATAAGTCAAAATGAGTTAAAGCGTTTTTCCTGTTTCTAATTTTTAC